TAAAAATAGGTCTATTTAAATTTGACTAATGGCGTGGATGTGAATTGCAAAATTTGGCTTCCTTCTTTTGCAGCTTTACTATAAACAGCTGGAGGTTCTGTGTTGTAATGTTTTAGTTTGCAATGCAGTAGTCGCCTCCCCATGAGTTGAAACCTTACAGGCGTTTGTCTTTGAGCAAGTTTCCCAGCTGACTCCGCGTCGGCACCTGGCCCACCGCTTACATCCATTTACAGGATTTCTAATAATCCCCCTCTCACTTCTCCTCCGCATCCAGTGACAGTTCTTTGGCCAAGACTGCAAAATATTAGTTGCAAGTCTCTTCCAAGCCGCAAATTATTATAATGTTGCAGCCTTGTGTGACGGCTGTAGGGATTCTTGTACTAATGAGGCGTGGAGACACCGAGGAGTAAAATCTGTAGAGGTGAATGTAGATGGAGCTGCACCAGGAGTCCATCTGCCTTTCTGACTCCAGCGAGGTACAAATAAGCAAATGGGCTTATTTAAAAGTTCAGTGACTATTGGCAAATGGGCTTATTTAAAAGTTCAGTGACTATTGGCAAATGGGCTTATTGAAAAGTTCAGTGACTATGTAAAGTGCAGTAACCCACAGCAACCAGTCATTGTTCTTTTGTACTGCTTTACTGAGTAAGCATGGATGTGGTTGTAAATTCTGTTCATTCATGTCACCGGTCTCTAATGAATAGATAGGCTGCATTCTCAGTAATGTCAGCGGTCTCTAATGAATGGATAGGCTTCATTCTCAGTGATGTCAACGGTCTCTAGTAAATGGATAGGCTCCATTCTCAGTGATGTCACCGGTCTCTAATGAATGGATAGGCTTCATTCTCAGTGATGTCAACGGTCTCTAGTAAATGGATAGGCTCCATTCTCAGTGATGTCACCGGTCTCTAATGAATGGATAGGCTTCATTCTCAGTGATGTCAACGGTCTGTAGTGAACGGATAGGCTTCATTCTCAGTGATGTCACCGGTCTCTAATGAATGGATAGGCTTCATTCTCAGTGATGTCACCGGTCTCTAATGAATGGATAGGCTTCATTCTCAGTGATGTCAACGGTCTGTAGTGAACGGATAGGCTTCATTCTCAGTGATGTCACCGGTCTCTAATGAATGGATAGGCTTCATTCTCAGTGATGTCACCGGTCTCTAATGAATGGATAGGCTTCATTCTCAGTGATGTCAACGGTCTCTAGTAAATGGATAGGCTGCATTCTCAGTGATGTCACTGTCTCTAGTAAATGGATAGTCTACATTCTCAGTTATGTCACCGGTCCCTAATGAGTGCCTAATCGCTTCTCGGCCTTTTGGCTAAGATCAAGTGTAGTATCGGTTCTTATCAGTTGCCGGTGGAAGAACGACACCACTCCTTCTCGAGTGATTATGATGGTGGCTTAGTATTTACCGGCTTAATTGGTGGGTGCCAGATGGGGTACAGTCCCTCCCGGTTAGATTCTGGCCCAGTGATGCTGGGCTTGTTCCATTCTCAGTGATGTCACCAGTCTCTAGTGAATGGATAGGCTGCATTCTCAGTGATGTCACCGCTCTCTAGTGAATGGATAGGCTCCATTCTCAGTTATGTCACCGCTCTCTAGTGAATGGATAGGCTCCATTCTCAGTGATGTCACCGGTCTCTAGTGAATGGATAGGCTGCATTTCAACGGATGTTACTGGTCTCTAGTGAAAAGATAGGCTCCATTCTCAGTTATGTCACTGGTCTCTTGTGAATTGGATAGGCTGCATTCTCAGTGATGTCACTGTCCTCTAGGGACTAGATAGGTTCCATTACCAGTGATGTCACAAGTCTCTAGTGACTATAAGGGCTCCATTACCAGTGATGTCACTGGTCTCTAGTGAATGGATAGGCTGCAGTCTCAGTGATGTCACTGTCCTCTAGGGACTAGATAGGTTCCATTACCAGTGATGTCACAAGTCTCTAGTGACTATGAGGGCTCCATTACCAGTGATGTCACCGGTCTCTAGTGAATTGATAGGCTGCATTTGAACGGATGTTACTGGTCTCTAGTGAAAAGATAGGCTCCATTCTCAGTTATGTCACTGGTCTCTAGTGAATTGGATAGGCTGCATTCTCAGTGATGTCACTGGCCTCTAGTGACTAGATAGGTTCCATTACCAGTGATGTCACTGGTCTCTAGTGAATGGATAGGCTGCATTCTCAGTGATGTCACCACTCTCTAGTGAATGGATTGGTTCCATTACCAGTGATGTCACCGGTCTCTAGTGACTATGAGGGCTCCATTACCAGTGATGTCACTGGTATCTAGTGAATAGATTGCATAGGCTGCATTCTCTGTTTTCTGCTATATTTCCAGTCTCTAATGAGCACTTAAATGGTGGTTGAAGCTGAGTGTACAAAGTCTTTTTTATTCTGGTTGACTCCGACAGTGAAGTGTTATATTCTCTCTACTGAGTTTTGACCCCTGACCTCAGGAGGAAAAGCTTCTGTAACCTTATGACTCTGTGGTCAGGGGACACTTTTTGCTACGTGGATGGATAGTTTTACAGCTGTCACTTGGTTTCTCCCTAGGCCCCAGATAAAGGGCTTTCAAAAGCTACTGAAAAATTAAAGTTAGTATAGAACAAGAGAAGTAATTCTGGTTTTACTTTTTTTAAATATATTTATTGATATTTTTTAAATACTATTTGAAAAGTAATTTCATGCCTAAAGAGTACACATAGTTTTACAGTTGTAAGGTACATACATTGGTATAGTAAATTAACTTTTGACTGGGAGACAAGCATCTAAAACAATACATTGGATGATAAAGACGTTTCTGTATCCAAGACGAGGGCAATCTAATGAAGGATGATGCAAGGAGAGGAAAAGACTTTGTGAAATGAAATAGTTAGGGCTGCAACTAATAATTATTTTCATCATCGAATTAGTTGGCCGATTTTATTTTTTCAATTAATCGGATAAAAAAATAAATGAATACCATCCTTAATTAAAAATAAAATACACAAATGCAGTGTGCACTGGAACACATGGCATTGCGGTACCATGTGCTCCAGTGCGGGCAATTACGCTGTGGGTGGGAGGCATGTTTGAGGTGCCATTGAAATGAATGGCACTGCAACGGACCTCCCGCAGCAGAATTTATCAGACCGAAAATTACTATTTCCCACCTTTTAAATTTTTTTTTCAATAATTGTATTGTAAGCACATGGAGCTTGAACAGCTACAGCCAGGGAATGACCGCCACCAGTGGCAAGATTCCGCAGACGGCTGAATGTAAATACAGGAGGTAGTGGGCGGGTGCAATAGCCAGCCTGCTATTGGACGTTGCAAAGGCCAATAGCAGGCTGGCTATTGCACCCGCCCACTGCTTGCTGTGCCCTCCTCACATGCATGGAGGAGAGAGCTAGGGAATCCAACCAACTAATTCATAATGAGAATAGTGGACAACTATTCTCATTATCGATTATTATCATTTAATCGATTAGTTGGTTGCAGCCTTAAAAAATATTAGAACCAAGGAAAACAAAGTGACCTGCTAAACATACACGTTGTAATACTCATATGGAGACTGAGGCCTGTGATAATATGATGTTGTTCTAGGGGTAAAAGTCTGCATCAATGAAGTGATGAGTAAGTAACTGTAGGAATGTAAGGAAGATTATGCAGTTCTCATTTGAGTTGTTATTTGTTGCTTGATATGGAATGGTAGGTAATATTTTCTTTTGC